TATATAAGGGATTTTTTTGTACATTTCCTCATGATGGACATCTGAGATGAGGACAAATATAAATATGGGTATTTTGTGTGTGTGTGTGTGTGTGCGTGTATGTGTGTGTGTGTGCACGTCCAAATTTGAGAGGAGTTGTGACTCCAAGCAGCAAAAGTAGGACATAATTGCAAACTATGGCAACTACGCGATAGGTGTTAATCTTAAAATGGATTTGTGAATAATGTATAATGGTACATTTTCTGTTAAATGTTTAATGTATAGCAGTGATGAAAAATCTAATCTAAACGTAAAATAATAAATATGTGGAACTGTTACACTGTAAACTGTCATCACACTGTAATAACTCCACTTGGGATGCAGAGGGGACCGAGTGAGGTGTAATTACGTCCCACTCCTGTCTAGCCGCTGGTACCGCTAGACTTTAATTAGCTCCATTCTCCTCTCTACAGAAAGATTATGACCAGATGCCGTGGGGCCCAGCCCAGGTGGTTATGGAGACAGGGCTTCAAAGAAGGAAAAGAAAAAAAAAAAAGAATTATTTTTTGGTTCATTACTCCTGAAAGGAGTTCCTGGTGAGTTTAATAAATGTCATCAAGACAAGCAGGCCACCCCACGCTTGAGTTTCTTGGACTGATTGATTAGACTGTTATGAAAACGGGACAGATTTCAATAAAGCAGCTTGGATGGTTTCCTAATGGCAAAGCGAGCTCATGGGCATATTGTGTGGGTAAACCCATCTAGACTCAGATTAGCCTTCTCTGGCAGCAAAGTGGTTACCATCATGTTTTGGCTGGCAAAATTGTTTATGAATTAAATTTGTGCAAGTCATAAAAAGTTATGCCAGCCTGAATTACCTTAAATTGGGATTTAAGAGAAAGGGCAAGATTGAATGTAGTAATTTTAGTTTTTATCAGTGGGTAATGAGGCTCTTTGCAGCTACATTTGCACCGTGTCATACAGTAGATATACGGTATATATTTAGGCCTTTATTAAAAATCAGTTGCTACAGTGCCGGCAAAAATGTATGCAAACTATATGCAGCTACATGAAATTCCATGCTGTAGTGTGGATTTTAAATGCATTAATCTTGTCCAGTTAATTTCTTATTTATGCTGCAGTCACGATACAACATAATTAGCGGATTTTTGTTTGCCCACTGGAAAAAAATCATGCACATGTTTAACCAAAAGTTTTCATCTTGAGTAAAGTAATGCACTTAATAGTTCCAACATGCATAAACATGGCATTATTATAGCCGCAAAAAAGTCACTCTCCTGCTTTGTGTGTGTTGTAATCCAAGCAGAAATCCAAATCAGACCGAGGGATCTCCTACATGCACCGGAGAAGTGTATGTGCTGCCCGGTGTGCAGCTGATGTCCAAAGAATTGAAAAACAAGGTATGTCATTTGTGTTATTTACCAAATTTATGTGCATTCATTTCATTTCAGCTCAGTGTGAGAGTCTTGTGGCTCTTCTCCGCTTCTCTTCTCTGCTCATGTGTCTACATGCTCCGGTCTCTGTGTGTCTGTTTCCACACACCGGGTCCGTTCTGGTCTGACAGATGATGGAAATAGACATACATGGATCAGATCAAACACAAGCAGAAGAGACAGCTTGAGTGAAGATAGCAACTCTATGTTTGTCCTGTGCACTTGTTACAATACATTAATGGTGGCTGACATCTTTCGGTCTGAGATACGGGTGCTCTAGCAGCATCCAATTGATCTGAAAAGCTGCACAGAGAGTTTTTAATGGTAAATGGTAAATGGTCTGCACTTTCCAATGTGTTTCTCATTCACCCATTCACACACACATTCATACACCAATGGCGACAGTTGGTGCGTAGTTTAATCGTAACAACTGGACTTGCTTGAGTTTCTTGAAGACCTTCCAACTGAAACCGAAACTCAAGTGTTCATGGCTCCTTAAGGATATAAGTATCTGGAACTCCCAACTAGTTAGTCAGAACTGATGAAGCCTCTTGGATGAGAGGTGGAACGTCTTCAAGAAACTCCGGCAAGTCCAGTTGTTACGATTAAACTACGCGAATGTCTTAATCCTGGTCACGGTTTATTTTCTTGGCAGATTCTCTGTCTTTACTTGAATTTAGAACGAGGTTAGTTTGCTAAATATGATGTGTATCTCTATTTCATCGAAGAGCGTTTTTCATTATGGAAAATGAAGAAAATTCGTTTTTTTAATATATCAGTTTTCATACAAATATTACAATATCACTGTGTCCATGAGAAACAGTAAAACCCCAACAGAGAATGTTTTGCACTCGGTTGTTTGTAATTCTCGTACCTTCATCTATATTTGCTGTTAACCTTGCAAAAGAATTGAGGAATAATGAAAGTATATGTAGAGAGGTTTCACTTCACTTGAGCAGCAGCAGGAGTGACCCCTGCTAGAATTGATGTAGTATCATATTTGCAGACAGAGTTACGATGGAATTACACCCGCACCCACAGGAACTTCGAAATGAAAGGCAATGTCCAGGTCTCCTGAGATGCTATATCAGCAAAGACTCAGCAAATTAGAAGGGCTGGGAGACACATTACAAGAAAAACTCATATTGACACTTCTGGCAGAATTCATCATTTCTGTCCCGAACCATTTTTCTCTGTTTGCGAGAGGAGCCATGTGGTAAGCTGGATGTTCAGACATGCCATTTACAATCGTTTACAAAGGTGAAGATATCAAATTCCTGTTGCTAGTACATGCAGCATAAAGGGATTCTTTAAAATGTTGAGCTGCATCAGTTACTGATTTCAAAACAATGCATCCACCTTATTCCTTTGATTGATTTTTTATTTTTTTTTAACTAAAACTTGCAGTGGAGCTAGATGTAAATCAAGGAAGTGTCTGCGGATGTATCTATCCTTCCTGTCGTGACGCTAGGAGCATCTTTTATACATTTCCTTTGTATCTGCACTTTCATACCCATTTCTTTTCATTTACAGGTCTTACCCTATAAATTATTTCACACCTGAACAAACAGAAAACTTTAGTGAGATCTTTGATTTATTTTTCCTTCCCCTGGTTTTTATTCTACTCTCTTCCTCACGGAAACAACACCGCACACAGTGCAATGTGCTGCATAATCAGCCCCTGCACATCCCAGCCTCCTTTCTGCTTACAAAAGAGGCCGGTTCTTTGCATCCAGGAAGCCTGTTTAGCCAGAGAAAGTCAGCAGAAGGCGCAACTCACAAGTAAATGATAAATACGGCATAACCTTTCGGTGCGAACCCTGCCTTTCATCAGTCCCCTGCAGTCAGATGATACTGGGCAGGCTCAGCTATTGTGAGCTGCCCTGGCTAATTGTTAAACATGTTCTTGTCAATCAAACATATCCCAAATGGCAACTCCTCAGCTGGCACTACAATGAGCTGCCGGAGCCGCAGTAGCCTTAGAGGAGTAATTGCAGTCCACTCGCCAGCAGCCTGACTCCATTCCATTAGCGGCTGTACATTATGAATGGCTGAAGCTGGTTGTTGACTGTAGACCTATTCAAGCTTGTGTATACGTGCTGAATGGCCCCTTTTTTCTTCGCCGGTGCGTTTCATTTCCACACAGACAGGCCAAACAGGAGGAGAGGTAATTGCATTTGTGATGGCATTGTGTTTGCAGACAGAGAGGGATATTCTCTTCACTTCATGAATCAAAAAAGCTACAGTAAATATTCACGGTGAGAAAAGACGGAGTCAATGAGGAGCTCGTGTGCGTGAGAGCCAGAAGAAGTTCACTGTTACACTATATCACACAGTTCAATAGAGTTGTTCTAACTTTATTTAGCTGCTGTAGCTGAATTGATCTCCCCCATGAACCTCGTCTAACACAGTTGCACGGTTTGTTAGGTACATATAAGCGGCTCTACTGAATGAGAAAACACTGTGCAACCTTGGGGGAGGCCGTCGGCACGTAATAGGAAATGCTGAGTTATCACTCTATGATAATGGCAAAACAACTATCTGCTAAAGACACAAGAGGCCAGATGATGGTGTCATTATTGTAGATGGCAACCAAAACATGCTATTTATATAGGGGATAAGCCACTCTGTGTGGAATAGTGCGAGGTTGTGAAATGGTCATCAACAACCATAAATGTCTCTGGCTTCAATAATGCACTGCAGCAATCAGTAAGCCAAGATCCATTCTCCATCCTCCATTCAAGTGCTGTTTTTTTTCTTTTTTTTTTCAAAGGCAGCCGACACTTCAGAGGTGTCGTTGAAGCCATCTCGAGATTTTGAAATGGATGTGGGGGACGACGTTAAATGAAGAGTGGGATCTTTCAAGCATTTCTCATTCCAATAAGCCCAAGGAGTGCGTCTAGATTCAGAAAGGTTCCAGTCGACTGGAGAGAAACATTTTCTGAATTTAAACGCTAACCAATTCTTCAGCAAGCCCCTCGCTCACATCAAGCGTTAAATTCAACTCAAAGCAGCAGCAAAAGAGATTTACATTTTCCGTATACAGGCTTTAGAGCCTTTGGGTTGGCTGAAGATTTGCATTAAGGGGATTTTTTTTTTTCTCTCCTCCACTCCCATCTTAGAAACTTTGTAAAGTTTAATCATGGCTTCTGTTGACGCCCCTGGGTTTTGTATCTTAAGCTGTATCCCTCCGGCTGGGAAACATAAGAAAACTTCATCATAAGCTGTTCCAAAGTCTGAATATAGATTTCACAAATCATTCCAACGAGGACTGTTCATCTAAGTATTACCCCCTCAAATATTGGATTTGTAATTATGGCTTTTTGTGTGGCCTTCCTGGTACAACTTCACACACAAAACCTTCCAGCTTTGAAGGAATGCCTCATTAAAATAAAACTTTACTTGTGGCAATTCTCAGAGCAATTTCATTTTCCTCTTAACACAGTGACTTTTAATTTAATTTGAAAAAAAAAGAAAAAAGTCGACATTTCAAGTTATTCACCAAATTCTCCCTCTAATTTGAATGCATTTTTAGCAGCAGCTTGGGTAATAATCAGCGGTTCCTACCCGCATGCCCAGCTCGATGTTCTCGCCTCCGTAGACCTCCATGCCAGGATCCAGCAGGCCGATGTCACCAAAGTATTCCCGGTCCACCACAAAGGAGCAGCCGATCATAGCTGGAGTTCTGAATGAGCAGAGAGAGAGACACATTTTTTTACTATTAAATATAAGTTACATTTTTTATGCACCCACAAACCCATTTTTTTTCCTGAATCTACATGAAATCAGTCTACTGTTAATTTATCCATCGTGTTAATAGCAAGATGCAGTTGCAGTTTAGCTTCCTGATTTATATCTATGCCCTGAGAAATTGGGTTTTAATGTGAACAGTCTTCAAACAATTCATCAAGACTAAAAAGCTCACTATGTGCAGTTATATGCATGTGTGCAAAACAGAGACTCTTGTCTGTTTCCGTTTCCCCAGAATGTCTGATACCTCAGCCTTACGATGATGAACGTTTCAGTGTTCTGAGCGTGTCTGTGGGACAGTGTGGAAATATCAGAAACATTAATGAATGAAAAAAAAAGTGTTTTTTTATGACTTTGATGGCCCGATGCACTGTGTGAATTTTTTTATGACTCACACAACTTTTAGTCTGATTAACTGCTAAATGCAACATTATGTTTGTTGGCTAATTGTTACCTTTGGCCTTGGTCAGGTTTGAGTTTATCTACTTTATTCTTTCTATATAAATACATATATCCATCCTTGGTTTGCTGCCTGTTTACTTATCATCCTACATGTCACGCCAACAGTCCAGCCGTAGCCGACGCTCCCAGGACTTCATTACTTTCTCCATCCCTTTAGTCCGTACCGAAAAAATGTCATTCTCTTACTCTGCCCCCTCAACCAGGAACTCACTACAGCAGACTCTGAAACTGTCCAACTTGATTCCCCCGGGGGGCTTCAAATGTCTGCTAAATATCCTGGAAAGATCATCTCCTGGTTGATGTTTTATTCTATTTATCGCCTGGCACTGTTTGCACTTCCTTTTTAAAATGCAATGCTGTGTTTTATGTTGATCCTATCTGTCTTTAACTCACTGATATTTTATTTATTTATTTATTTATTTATTTAATTGTTGTGTTTGTTGAGTACAGGTCCCACAGTGTTGCCTTACCTTACCTTTTTAGTCAGGCTTTTGGTTGATTTGATTTCTATTTTTTTTTTTACTAGTATTTATTTTTTTATTTGAAACTTCTTTTATTTATTGAGTTCTCTATTTATTCACCCATTTACATATTTGAGTGTTTTTTTTTTATTGTGCTGTATATTAAATCATTTTTTATCACTTATTGTTTTGTTTTTAAAATTCTTTACTTTATTTCTTTAAATAATAGGTATCCTGTTTTCATCTGTCCTGTTTATACCTATATTTTACTCTTTTTTTCTATTTTCTTTTTCTGCTATTTTTATGTTTTTATACTTTTTTTTCTATGTTCAGTTTGCACTGTGGGAGTCTTGCAATTTCAGTTCCCTGTATGTTGTACATAAAGCAAAACTGACAATAAAGCTGACTTGACTTGCGTGATCTTATCTGGTGTTTTCTAATTGCAAGTTTCTGTAAAGCACTTTGGGTGACATTTCTGTTTGTATGAAAAGTGCTTTAGCAATAAAGTCTGATTGATTTTGCTGAAAACTTAAACTGAAAACTATATTCCAGCTATAAGACCAAAACAATGAGCCGAAATACACTAAAATGTTCCATATCACTGAGGAGAACAGCAGATTTATAGAAACAATTCTGTGTGGGTTCATCTCTTGGGTAATATTACAACAGTAATTTGGCACAGTGTTAATATAAAAGTATTGATTGGTGCAGTTTTAATATTTAGATGAAATGAAAAGTAAAATAGCAAATAAAGAAGGAAATGAAACATGACACCAGCCGCACTTTCCGTCTCACTCCGGGACAACAATCCACAATGGCACTTTAACTTCAGCTAAAGAACAAATACTTTCAAACCTAGTACAACTTAAAAGCTACCTAAATTTAGCTGGTAGAACACGAGTTACAGTGTTTTTTTTTTCGTCTTTTACAAAAGCAAGAGCCCCGGGGCTGCTTTTCAGTACTACTATCTGTCAGGTCTTAAGTGCTCAGGACAAAACCCCCACAAAAAGCATTACATTCACACAGGGTCATGAGCTGCATTATTTTTTTCTGTAAAGTGACCAATGAGCAGCTTGATTCTTCCTTCTGGAATGATGCCCGGGGTGAGTTCACCGTATACTGTTACACACACAAAGACACACACACACACACACACACACATAGAGAAAAAGCAAATGTGTGTGCTGCTTCAGTTTGAGAGACATAGCAGTAGGAAGTACTGTAAAGTGCTTCAGGAGCTGCACAGTGATTCATTGACTCTGTATTAAAAGAGTGCACTGAGCCGTACAGTGTGTGAGCCAAAAGGAAAGGTGCTTTTAGGTCTGAAACCCATATAAAACACTGTCTGGACCACCACTATGGAGTGTTATTTTAGAAATCTAAGATTGGTAGATAAATAAACCCTCATGTAGGGCTGCAAATCCCTGTGAACCATTATATTTCAGAGGAAATCGTTTCCATTTTTGCTCATACAAATGGCTTTAAAGCCGGACATTCATTCAGTTTATGTTTTATGAGCTGTGTCAAATTGATTTAAGTCGCTCAAAAGGGAACATTTTAAAGAAGCTACAGTGTGAAAGTAGAACTAATTCTTATGCACTTTAAAAAGTGCTGGCTTTTTACATGATTATTACTGATAGCGGTGGGTAGCGTGGAGTTAAACACTCCTTATGGTAACAATTTAATGGTGCTCCCCATTATTATTCATGCTTGCTATCTTATACAGTTCCTGACGTAGCTTTACACAGTCTTGTTTAAATTATAAGGCGGTGACAGGGAAGCTTTCAAGTGCCATTATTTGCACGGCTGTGTAGATAAAAAAGACAGACACAGCACACACTCAGCCCTGTTCACCTCATCCTTTCTCTTCTCCTGACAAGTGACCTACCTTGCCTGTCTGTACTGCACAAACTTTGTGCAGATCTCTTTGAGTGCTCGCTTTAGAATAAGCTACCTGGCAATGTAAACACTGTTTAGGTACAAACTCAGCAACCTTAAGTCAGATGCACGTGATAGTGAAACTTAAACCTCAACCTGACCGTGTCCGATTTGTTTGTGATGTCTTTCAACACCATGAAATGTTGTATGAGAAGCATCCTCACATTGATGCCAGTGTCACAACCCAGAGCAGGGCACAGGGGGGTGGATCACACAGTTGTAACTACAAATAAGTCTATTTCACTGAACTAAAAGGGAAATTAACCAAAGTGCAAATAGAAGCAAACAAGCTGGAAGACAGAGGAGAGAGAGTGCCTGGCTGCCTGCCACCGCTTTATATAGGGGAGAACGACCAGGTGAGCTGAATCACCATGACGGCCCGACTCACCCGTCAGAACCCTGCAGGGATAACCTCCCCAGAGATGTAACACGTCCTGTAAGACACCAACCACATCCTCAAAAACCACAGCTTTAGGTCCAGTTCACATCTACACTTGTCTTTGAAAATGGGAGTTTTCTTCCCCCAAAAGTCTCCATTAGCATGGCAATGCAAAAGCACAGTGTCAAGAGGATGCCACACCAACAACTGGCAATATAATCCTAAAACCAAGTTAGCCAATCAGACGCTTGAAAAAAGGCTAATACTGGTTCCAGCAGGCTGCCAACAGCGGTGCATCAAGAATGAGGTGAATCATATATGTGGACTAGTTTTGACGCCTCTGTTCCTCTGCATAACGGATCTACATTTCTAAACATGCAAAAAGTCCTGTTAACTAATAGAACTCTCTGCCACGTATGCAAAAGTATGCCTCATGTAGGCAAAATAAATAACACACACTGACATAACAAGCCAACTCTCTGGTTTCGCTGTCTACATGTGAATACTGTCAATGTAGTTTTTAAAAACCTTCACCTTCTAAGGAGTTTTTCAAAAGATTCATTATCGGTGACCTAAAGCTGCACATGGATGAAAGGCCAAAACTAACGATGTGCAATGTTACATTTCTGGCCGATACAATATCCGATATTAAGATTTCTGATATCGCCAATAACCGATATTACCGATGTTGATATTCAATTTTTGTTCACACCAAAACATTTGTATAAGTAAGCACTGTGAGAACGTGAAAACTATTCAGAAGAAGCCCAAACCAAATTAGACCACATAGTCTTCTTTGTTATGTTACAAAAGTGAAACATATTTAAACGTATTTTAACATATGTAATGTTCAAGTCCAGGACCATTTAAGTAAAAAAAAGTAATAGCAGCAATATCAAATGTAGAGACGAAGGCACTAATTTTAGACAATCATCGTTTTTTCACATCAACTAAATTTGTTCGTCGGACCAATATATAGATATATCGGTAAAAACGCTAATATCGGCCAATACCGATGTGGTCGCCAATATATTGTGCACCTCTAGCCAAAACGCACGAAAAAGTGAAACGTTGTAAATAATACCCATGTACATGTGCACAGGACGTTAAAACTGACTAACTTCTTCTATTAGTTTCTACAAAAGGGCACAACTCAAGCACTTATCACATTTTACAGTGTTGGAAGACCAACTAATTGACATCAATCAACTGCTTTAGTGCTGTTCAAAAATCTGAATATGTTATACCCATCCCTCTAAGTACTCTTCCTCACCCCTCAGAACCTGAGTGCATTCTGCTTTTAGTAATTTTTAGTAGATTGCAGCAAAGTTTGGTCTCTGTCTCATTTGTCTGCTGTGTAAGGTGATCAAACAAGAAATATTAAGGCATGAACTAAAGCACTAAATCGCGCCTAGATTACAGCATACTGGGGCCAATTAACTGAAACCAATTAAATCAAAAATTAGAGGCAGACGTTTCTCTAAAAATTCAGACAAAACAGTCTGAATACTAGACATGGACTTTTGGTTTTAAGAATCAACTAATAACTGCTTTTTCCTCCCAATTAGTGATTTTACAGCAACGTTCAAGAATCATAAACAGAAAAACCACCACAGAAGAGTTTTCTGCATCAAGAAAAACCTTTTACTTAGATGCAATGCAGCCACAGTTTTTTACTGCGTGACCCACAAGTCACAGAATAACTTCTGGACTCCATCAGACATCACAGATTGATGGTGGAATCTTCCAGGAGATTTCTCATTGAATGTCATGAGGTTTAGTTATTTTTAGTGTGCAGATGGTCAGCCTGCAGGGCTCATTCGCCCCTAACACCCCTTATCTTTGGCAGCCTGCTTGCAGTATGAACATCTGATGCATGTATGCAAGATATGGCGAGATAAACACTTTCATTTAAGACTTCTTTCCCAGATGAAGGCAGTGCTGTTAAAACTGCTTCTTTTTTTTAAACCAGACATCTGGCTTGTTTTGACCTACTGTTTAAAAAATCTGACAGCTGCATTGCTTTAGTTGTATTAGAGCGATATGATGTAGAGCTTTAAAAAAAGTTTTCCAGTTTGTAAAAGCATTGAGTAATTTATTAAATTTCTAAACAATGTCATTAAGACGTATACTCCTATTTTAACAATTTAAGTATTTTATCTAAGTATTCCATCAACAGTATACAAAAGTGGTATTGTCTATAAGTGTATCTTCTACTTATTCATGTCTGATGCTCATATTTTCTTATTTTAAGGCCCCACTAAATGACAAACACGGATATTTAGTGTGGTCTATCATAAAAAGTATTATTCTTATCCAAACAAATGGCTTCTCACTTTGAAAACAAAATATCCATGTGATTCCAGTTTAAGATTTCAGGTTTCCATCCACACATCCAAACCAGTCGTCGACCATTTCCGCTATCCGATTCTGTACGGTTAATAATTACAGCAGTTGCCAAAGGAACCCTATTTTTGTTATGACTCCAAAATGATTGCCATCCTCTGTATACTCTCAGATTGTGGGGTTTTTTTTGCACCCTTTTATTCTCTTTGTTGGTGAATGTATCCAAACAACCAGAGAAAGGTTTGAGACTGCGCTCTGAGGGGTCACAGAGCTCCTGTTGTTGATGGGCAGAAACCTTGAGGAAACAAGCCGGAGAATGATTTCCAATAGAAATCCACACAGCCGACACACTTCAGCCAGCCCTTGAGGCGATCTGTCCATTTGCAGCAAAGCCTCAATAGGGGAAACGAACCAGCTCTGCGATGTCTGAAACTCTCCTTGCCTCGCACCGATCTCCGGTCTTGAGGCTCGTGCTCGGTCATATGTGATTTCCATGGTGGTTTGATAAGACATTAAATATTTAGACCACACTGTTTGTTTGTATGAGACACCCTATGTCAGATTAAAGCGTTATTGCTTTGCCTGCACTGGATGAAGCAAGATGATGATACTTTGGAATTCAGTTTTTCTTGCTCTGGGTCAAAATATAACAGTCCATGTGAATGCCCTGGTGTTTGGGATTAGCACCTTTATGTTTCATGTGTGTAGACTCGTCAAAAAAAAGAGACTTTCACTGACACAAATCTACCTTATTCTGATTCCAGCAACAATCCAATTTATCCACAGGGTTAGAATCAACTGACAAGAATTACTGATCAATGCTAAAGCATCACAAGGTCAACCTTGACGTTCTGCCAGCCTTTGAACTCCCCATTACCCAGCATGCCGCCTCAGATCCTCAGGCAGGCTCCTCAAATCCTTGCTGATCAGGCTTTTGGCTTAGTCACATTTAGCTACAGTGCTTTACTGACTGTATGTGATTGCTTCTACTTTTGATTTTTGCTCAATGCCTATGCCCTCTGTGCTTGTCCTTGATCTAACAGTACTTGCTTTGTGTTTCTGGTTTAAGTGAGTTTAAAAATGTGATCGACAGGGTTACGCAAATAAAACTTGATATTTGTGATAAAATGTAACCCTGTTGGCACATTTCACATCTCATTTGCCTGAAATCCTTAAAAACAGCATCCCTTTCCTCAGTTGCTTGCTTCTCCTCATCAACAGATGCTCTACTGTGACTCGTGCATGCAGCGGTAAGCTAGATACTCTTTCCTTTAACAAGATGACCTGTGTGCAGAATACATCTCTGCTGTTTCCATCTCACTGAGGTGCCCTTGAACCTGACAATTTAGGCAGATCAAAGCTGCTGCTGTACCGCTGACCCTGACCCTTCATCTCCCCCCGTGAAGGATGGCTGATTTTTATTTCTGTTCCTTTCATATGCCGGGATGTGTTATCACTGTTTTTCATTTTATAGTGTAGCAGTGAAATTGCTGTGGCAATGCACCAAGTACAAAGCAACATGTGCGTTTCAGCAGCCCCCATGAATATGGAAAAGATGAAAACCAAAAGCTACGCTTCCTCATGCTGGCTCTGACCTCGTATTCCCGGCTCCAGCATTGCTTCTGGCTTTACCACATTAAAATAAACTGCTACACAGTTAAAGCAATATATGAAATGTTCAAGGTGTCTGTAAAGACTGCTTAAATTTGTCCATACCACAAGACTATTGACAGGTTCATTGATGTAGTGGAGGCATCCAAGAAGGTTAGACTCACTTTGAGGGCTGACTCTGAAAAGCTATATAAATTGACTTAAAAACAGCATTAAAGGTAGAGTCTGCGATTCTGGAGAGAGCTTGTTAATAATTAGTTAGCATGTTTAGATTTACAGTCCCTCTAATTTCTTCTGCTTCCTTGTACAGGACACACTGGAATTGTGTTGTGTGGAATCACTTTGTTTCTTTCCCATTTACAGAGCCAAGAATGTGTAAGAATACCTTTTTAAAAAAAACATTATTTTAGTGCACACAGAATGGACAGCTTGTGGATTCGAAACAATGACTCTACCTTCAAGGCTACAAACAGCCAACAATCGAACATTCTCTGAAGAGCTGTTACAGGTGAATTCTCATTTAAAGCATTCACTTTAACTTTGGACATTGTTTGTGATGCTGTAGCTTGAACTGGCCAAACAGGTAAAACCATTTCATAACAAACTCTGCTCTTTCCCAGTCTATTACTTCCCAATATGATTCTACCGAGGACACACATCACCAATTGTAGGATTACATAGAATGAAATGATGCCTGTGCTGTCCTCCAATCAGTGGCGGTTTAATAGAATACCCAGCTCATATTCAAAACACAATTACACTAATGACACCGCAACACCGTGGCCTCGTGATCCTGCATCAAAATGAAGATATTCATCATGCTAATTAGACTGCTCTATAGGCAGGCTTTATTTGTGTGTTTGGGTGGCACACTGGACTACAGAGCACCTCAGTTTGATGGCTCCACACATGAATAAGTCATATCCCAAGGCTATCCATATTTCATCAAACATCCTCATCTATAATGGACGCTGCTCACCAGCTGAGGCCCTCACCTGATAGGGGCTGTCTCATCGCCCTTGTCCAGCCACTCCTGCGGAGGGATGATGTACATACACCATAGACCCCAGTTGTAGCCATGGGCGGCATTAGCGTACTGCTGCACCTCAAACGTGTTGTACTTGATGTTGTCTATGGCGGGCAGGATAATGCGGGTGTGATCCTCCTTCATCCGGGTTAGAATGGGTTCAGCCCTTTGGACGGGGAAAAAAAAAAAAAAAAAACAGGAGTTAAGAGCTGACTTTATGAATTAGGCATGCAGCGGCTTCATTGCACAGTTGCAGAAGGTGAATAAAGAGAGCGAGAGGAGAACAGTGTGCTACAGGGCAAATAATAGAGCAGTGCATATTTTCATTCTGCCCTGTAGAGGTTTGAAGTATTAATATTGCAGCAATGTTGGTGATGATTGACCTGATGGATAATGTAACTGAATGTAAAGTGAAACCTGTGAATGCGTATGTGCAGGAAATCAACACAAATATTTTTAAAATAAATTAAATAAAAAGGTGTTTAGTCAATATCCACCAGACGCTGCCAGGAGCAGCTATGGATGACTGCAGACATCATCTCAACTTATACTCTATCTCTACATTTACATGGGTTTTACTGGCAATGCAATCCGTCAAATCAGCATTTATTCAACAACAATTTCCAGGATCCGCTTCCCTCCACTGTTCATGATGTGAATGTCTTGCAAAATGAATTTTGCACGGAACAACAAATAATATCATATCACATTTTATATCTCCTGCTATTGAAAACGAAATGTCAAAATGTGACACTTTATGCCGGCGAGAGACTTGATAAGGTAGAACCTGATAAAGCAAAGCACATCAGGTGAAAAGACAGGGTTAGTATGCTCCCTGGAAAACTATCCACTCTCTTTATTTACTCTGTGCAAAGTGTTTGCGAGGTAGCTTCCGAAACAGCCTTGTTCCACACACTCTTCATCCCGTGGCTTTTGCTCCAGGGCTGCTATGGCTGGTACGCATTAATTGGAGAACACATACTCACCAAAAATATTAAGGTTAAAAGTGGCTCTTAATGGGCCACTTACAACTATGTTACAGCTGAGTGGTTTTATGGCAAGTTAGGAGCTGTAACTGAGACCCCGGGATGACACTGACACTGCAACATGAACCCACAACTTGTCATTTTTAACCTTTTTGCGTCAGGATTGAACAAACGGGAAAGATGGTTTTAGAGCTTACAGAGGCTCGTAGGCAGATGTTTTAATTCTGGGCACAGCAAACATAGCAGTTTCCACAAACACACAAGTTTGTGAGGCTGTTAATCTTTTCATCTACAGTCAGATTCAGAAGTTTACGTGCACTTTCATAAAAGGAAGTACTTACAAAAGTTTATCCACATAAAAACAAGTCTTGTGTTGACATAACATGAAAAAATGCTCAGCAAGGAAAAGGGCGCATTGCAAAAACCACCAGAAAAAGCCAGTAGTTTGCAACTAGAGGTGGGGACAACAATGTCCTCTGGTTTGATGAAGCCAAAAACTTAGCTGTTAGGCCATTGTTCTGTTTGGAAAAGAAAAAAAAAGAGCGAGGCTTGCAAGTCAAAGAACACCATCACCACCATAAAGCATGGTGGTGGCAGCATCATGTTGTGGGGGTTCTTTGCTGCAAGACAGACTAGTGCACTTCACAATAAAACTATTTTGATTTGTTGAAGTAGTACCACATGATATAATGCAGGGAGTTTAAGACCAGTTACAAAAGGGACTTTTTAATTTACTGCGACCCCATGCAGGCTTCCAAAGTTGGGCTTTAAAGGCTTAAGGATAACAAAAATCAAGGTATTGGAGTGGGCTTCACAAAGCCTTAACCTTAATTCAGTAAAAAAAATGCAGACAAGATTGAAAACTTTGTGTGAACAAGAGGGCCTACAAACCTGCCTGAGACACATCAGTCCTGTCAGGAACAATGGGCCAAAATTCCAGCAACCTTTTGTCAGAGGCTTGGCAAAGGCCACTCAAACTGTTTCAACCAAGTTAAACAATTTAAATCTGCTAACAACGAGTATGTAAAATAAAAAATGGAGCTAAATAAATCCATCTACGAATTTTTATATTGATATTACACATTCCTAAATTGGGGGCTGCAGGGTGGCGCAGTTGGTATCACTGTTGCCTCGCAGCAAGAAGGTTGCCGGTATGTGTCCCGGTGGGGGCACCGGAATCTTTCTGCATGGAGTTTGCATGTTCTCCCCGTGCAGCGTGGGTTCTCCCCGGGTTCTCCGGCTTCCTCCCACACAGTCCAAAACATGTTGAGGTTAATTGGTATTTCTAAATTGTCCGTAGGTGTGAATGTGAGTGTGCTGTGTCTCTAAGTGTAGCCCTGTGATAGACTGCTGACCTGTCCAGGGTGTCCCCTGCCTTTGCCCTAAGTCAGCTGGGATAGACTCCAGCCCCCCGCGAAATTAATAAATTAACTAATTAATTAATTGAGGATTAAGCGGTGAATAGATAATGGATGGATGGACATTCCTAAAGCAGTGATTCAAACTGACCTATGACTGGGAACGTTACTTGGATCAGTGGTCAAGAAATTTGAAAGGATAAATTGTAAATATGTTTAGCCGAGATGTAAATAAATTTTGGCTTCAACTCCAAGTAAAGAGACTTATTTCCTAAAATGACAAATCATATCTTTATCATTGAGTGTAGGCACTAATGATTAAGAGTCACCTACACCTGTCCATAAGATCTGACGTTGTTCAAAGTAAAAGTATGAGCCCACCTTTTCTCTTTGATGTTTTCATTCTGAATAGTAAATTTTTATTAAGATCTTAAAAGGCAATGGTATTTAGTACCATGTAGGACAATTGCTGATTTATGATGCCTGTCTCTCTTGGTCACAGGAGGGATTTATTTTTTTTTTTAAATCAGTGCCACATACTGTATAGTAACCTCCCTCAGTTATGTAAAACCATGGTCAAGGGCAACATGGTCTTCAGATCCATATGGTACAGAACGACACTCCAGTGCTCCTGGCAGCAGCTATATTTGTATAATCTTCTCATGCTGAGAAGATCTTCACCATATCTTCAAAGCAACTCTTCATACGATCACTTCGTCACATGATATACTGCTAAATTAAAAAAAAAAAAAAAAAAAAGAGCCGGCAATTATAACATGATAAATGTATCTCTCAAGAATTCCGCCACACTCCAACTTTCTCGCTATCTCCCCACCCACTGACTCTCCTCCTCTGTGTCTTCGCCCCGATTCCCGCCCTACTCTCTTTCTCCCCCATCTACTTCTCTTCAAAAAGCGAAACCCATTTATCTTCCAGAGGCAAAATGACTTCTTATCACATGAAGGTAGGGGACAGAAAGTACAGAGGGAATGGATCCAAAATGAACTGTTTGGGTGACGTCAGCAAAATATGAGGTAGTGCTTAGGAAAAGTCATCATTTAATAACTGAAGCAAGGTTTAGGAAAAGTTCTACATCTGCCTATCTGAGAGGATGACAGATGGCTCGTTTTGTCTTTACTCCCAAGACATATTAACTGTTACAGAAAAATGGGTCCTATCATTTATTTTGTGGTTTTGTTGGTAGTTATGATAAAGAATAAGTCAAGCAGCTACAACCTCATGATCAGGTAAACAACCAAAAAGAGACAAGCATAAGTAAGGTGGAGCTTTTTTATACACTAAATAAACAAATACCATGTTATTCAATGAGCTTTAGAGGTGCTTGTAGATAGCAAAACTTTGTACTTACTTAGTGAGGCATTACAGTGATATCAGTCCCCATTTCATAATTATACTCAAACAGAAACACAGACAGCTGCAGACACAACAGATGTTTAGTTGCTATTATACTATTTTCTAGTCCTTTTGGATTTCCTTGGAGGACTCCGTTCCTTACTTCATCAAAATCGGCGTCTACGTATTCAGTGCATGCACACCACGGCTGAACATATTGTCCCTCTGCGGAGGTCTGCATGCAGCCCAAAATTTGTGTCCAAGCAGTCATGCAGACTCTTGTTGATGATGAAATTTATGCCATGGAGACCTCGGCCAACCCTCGTGGACCCTCGTGGACCACTGCCTATTTATGGATGCAGAAAGCATAGAACTGGCTTTTGCAAAAAGTGTGAATAAGTTCCCAAAATGCTGAACTCTTTCTGTCACCTTGCACATTAACATTGTATTACATGACAGACTGTTGCTTTTTAACAGTTTCTCAACAGCTCTTAAGAAATATGACCATTAAATCTTATAGAACCCATTGCATGTTGAAAATCTAATCAGCAAAATGTCATTGAATCTGAGGGTATATGCTGAAAAACTTCAACAATAGATCTATTCCAGTTCTAATAAATGATTTAATGTCATAACCTGCACGTTTTCAAAACCTGATAGACTGTTCAGTGCAGCTGCCCCAGCAAATACACCTTAAGTAATCTCTGTTCCATCAAATCAATTTCCCTTTAATGCATATCGAATGGTCCCTTATATTTGCATTCTGAATGTCAGTGGCAACGATGAACCAACCTGGGAACATTAAAGACTGAGACGTTGTCTGTAGTGTGCAGCCCTGCTAGCTGGATTAGGTGCTGTAGCTTCTGCATGTTTCAAAGGTTACTTTTTTTTTTTTATTATGTTATTTGCTTCAGATTTTAATTAATTTCTTATTTTCAAATGCACATAAAATGTAAACTTGTTTGTCATACACTATCATGTAATGATTCCTATGGGGTCACAGCCATCAATGTAAAAGCAATCAGTGCAGCTACCACACTTTAAAAAAGGCGCTCATTCACTTCAATGAAAAGGATTCTGCAAGTGAAAAGAGTCTATCTGCAGCCTCACAGACTGTAAGACACATCTGCATTACAAAAGGACGCAATTACTTCACTACATAACACTCCCCTTAACTCTGACCTTAAAAACACGTCTTCACCTCAAAGCGCGAGTGAATGAGTTACATGAATTATATATATAAAAAATAAATAGAACAAATTATACAAGTATGACATCTTCCTGTCACATTGTGCCACGCTGTGAACTGAACTAAAAGTAAGTTGTCATAAACACTTTTCTGCCCATCTGACAGAGATCACAAAACACAGCAGTCGGCTGTTACAAAACAATGTGCCACACGTCATGTCTAATTGACGTTGCTTTGGAACAATGGCTCTGAAGCAGGGATGTCTCATTTTGTTAAATGC